GTTGTGTCTGGGGAGCAGGAAGCAGGGAGAATTTGAGACATGTAAGCCAGGCTACCGTGGGAGTGAGACCCTGATCATAGCAAGAGAGCATGAATATCAGCTTTCAGGGAGGGGTCCAGGACTCAGAGAGGGTTGGAGCCTCACCGAGGTCACACAGTCAATCTGGTAAAGTCAGGCGTAAGAAGCCCAGCCCAGGAGTCCTTGAGGGTCCAGCTCCGGAAGTCTAGGGATCAAGCTAGTCTCCTCCTTGCATCCCTCCCTCAGCCCCCTTCTAATCCCAGGACTTCAGGTCCCCTCATCTAGGCAGAAGCAAAAGGCACTTCCTGTCTGGGGAAATTACAGATGTTCCCCCTCTCTGAATATCACTGTTGGTAATGCAGCCCTGCACCCTCCTTGCCTGGCTCACAAAACTGGAAACTGAGGGACAGCGCAGGCTGTAAACTGCCCCAGGGCCCAGACCAAGGGAGTAAGATTCAAAGACATTTCCTCTCACAGGCCCACAGCACAAAAGAGCTGGCAGAACCAGCTAGAAAGTGCCAAAGGAGGAAGGAGCAAAGAAATGGGCAGCTGGTGGTTAGTCATAGGACGCTAACATTCCAGGCCAGCCCGAGGATCACCTGGGTGCTGACCCTGCCAGAAAGACACTCAGGAATGCAGCCCTCTATGCCTCACCCCTCAGACCTCTGCTAGGTGCTTCCCCACAGGGAAGATGTGGCCTACTGGTCAGGGCAAGGCCGCCTAAGCAGGGAGGGAGGGTGAGGATTCCAGGGAGCTCGTTTCATCCTTTGAGCTAGCTCTATGTAATCTGGCCTTTACCTGCCCAGGTGACCAACTACAAGGCCTCCTGGGTCTTGGTTTCCTCATCTGTCAGCTCTGGATAGATTCAACCTGGCAGATACAAAAGACAGCAAAAAGGGAAGTGATCCCAGCCTGGCACAGAACGTGCTGGCAGCCCCTTCCTCCGACACCCAGTTCAGCTGTTTGGGGAAGTCCCCTAGTCCTGCCAGGCCTGCGTTCCCAGCTGGGTCCCCGTGTGCTGCCTCTCCTCCTCGGTTTGTGTTAGTGAGCCGTTGCCATGGAGACCAGTCTCAGCTTCTTTGGCAGAAAAGGACTCCCCCAGGGTAGTGCTCTGCCTCTCCTACTCACCACCCCCCCAAACTCCAAATGCCCAATCTGCGGTGAGCAGGATCAAAGAGAAGAGAGAGGTGTCCAGGGATGAGGTGGGAAACAGGTACCACTGGAGAAGCTGGGGAAGGAACTCCGTTCTCAAATAGTCATTCGCCAACCAGGAGTAGAACCCAGGCCAGCTCCCCACTGCGGGCCCAGCTCCAGGAACCCAAGGTACCACCTACATGCTCAGAGGGAAGAATGGAAGCCCAGGAGTGGAGGCGGCTCTGGCACCAGGGAACAGTACAGGCGAGAGAGGGCCCCAAGACCTTAACCAGAGGGACTGCCTCCTTCTCCTGGCCTGGCAGTCAGGAGTGGGCTCAGAGTGCAGAGTGGGGGGCTGCTAAAAAGCAAGAGTCATGAGCCCTATGGGCAAGCATATTGCCAGGGATAATTCGAGCTGAAATGCATCTACCCAGGAGCACTCCTGCAGTCTCTGTATTCCAGACCTGGCATGTCCAGCAGGGTACATGGTCCACTTCCATCTGAGCTGGAGAAAAGGTTCCACGGGGCTAAGGCAGAGGGGTGCCTGGTGTTACCTCGCACTGCTACCCTGAATAGGTATCCACATTCTCTGGGCATCAGTCTTCCCATCTATCCAGAAATGTACTGGAAAAGTTTGAGATGAGATTTCTGGGCTACTTCCAGGTTATCCAACTGAAGTAATGTTCAGCAAGAAAGGCAGGAGCCTGGCCCTCATGGCTGGTTCTGAGGCCTACTGCCCTCAAGGGGTTCTCATGGAGAGGAGAGGCCTAATTAACTGGATCTCCAGGTGTCACTGGGAATGCTAGGGTAGAAGCTACCTGCATTCCCAGGCGGCAGCCCAGCCCTGGCGGAGAAGGGGAGGGAACCGCAAAGGCGTCCTGAAAGAGACTGGCATAAACAGAGAACCAGGAAGGACACGCAGCTGAGGCCATGGCTTGGGCAGAGGTACTGCCGAGAAGGCCACGGACATTTGTGAGGCCCTCGCCTTGTACCAGGTGCTTCAGACGAGTTCTCATTTACTCCACACAACCAGGAGGTGGAGAGGAGGAAATTGAAGCCCAGAAGGTTCAAGTAAAATCCCTGCGGTCACACAGCTGGTACACTGAAGCACCTAGATTCAAACCCTAGCATCAAAGACTCTAGCCTGGTGCTATTCAATATAGTGACCTCTAGTCAGCGTGGCTGTTGAGTTCCTGAAGCACAGTTCATCCAAACTGACAATTGCTGTCAACATAAAACACACGCGCCAGATTCCAAAGATGGAGTATGAAAAAGAACACAAAAGTATGCCACTAACCACTTTTCATTTCTATTGCATGGTGAAATGATAACATGTTAGATCTTTGAGATTAAATAAAACATACTACCAATTAATTTCACCTGTTTCTCTTTCTCCTTGTTTTACATGTGGCTACTAGAAAATTTGTAATTATATATGTGGCGTGCATTATCCTCCTTCTGGAAAGGGCCTGTTGGTCCCATGAAGATAGACATGTGCAGGGTTACGGGAGAAGAAAGGGGCTTCTTGCTGGTAAGGTGATAGGGTATGAGGGTGTTTTGGGGGTGCTGAGGTCAAACCAAGCAGTGCAGACATGGAAGGTGCCCATGCAGCAGAGTGTCCATACCCCCTCCCCTGTCCCTGCTGGGCCTGTCAACCACAGGTGGACTCAGCCCTGGGCTGGCCATTGCCCTGGCCCAAGACACATCAGTTGCTATAGTGATAGTAAACCTTCCTGAACTTTGGGGAGCAAAGGGCGGAGAAGTCTGCCATAAAGAGAGAGAGGGACAGAGGCAGGCTTATCCGGAGAGGAAATCTGTGTACCTTGTCTGTTGGGGGTGGGGCAGCCTGTGAGTTCTTGCTTGCTGTTGGGATGGGAGGGAGGCACGGCCTGGCCAGTGTTTGCACAGAGGTTTCCGGGTTTCCTCCCTGCTGCCCCACTCCTCTCTTAGCCACTATCCTTCCAGCTCACACTTCACCAGCAATGTCCTATCTTGGGCCACCATTCTGATAGTCTAAGCAGGGGACCCCAAGAGAGGTGAAGGCAGATAAGCACTAGACTCCCTGATCTCCCCTTGCCAGAGCCAGTGCCCCCACGAATGTCAGATGAGGTGGTCTAGACCGGAAAAAAACAAGATGGGGAGTGTGCAGGTGCCAGAAGCAGAAACCTTGGTCCTCTGCTCAGGGAGGGCAGGGGGCCTCTTCTGAAGCAGAAGCCCACTGGTGGGCCCAACTTACCAGCCTTCTCATCCCCTCCTGGGGTCATCCACCCTGCACAGGGGCCACAAGGGGATTCAGTTTCCCCAGGCACCTACAGAAGCCATGTTTGGTTTGCCTGCTGGTCTTGGGTCTCCCGTGACTTTTCCACTTTCCCTAAGCACCCACTTCCCGGGCAGTGTGATGCACACACATACATGACAGGGACTGTCACCTAAGTGGCATTCATTATTCTTGCTCATGCAGGGGTTTTTTTAGATTGCTTGATTCAGAAACAGGTGGTACTCCAACACCTTCCAGCACAAAGAGGGGAGAGGTAAGGTGCTTCCAAAGCCAGGGTGGAGGGGTTAGCTTCCACTTGACCCTTACATTCTCCAGAAAGCCCCATTCCACAGAGGGCCAGACTGAGGCCTAGAGGAGAGGACCTAGGTGGCATGAGGTAGGTGGCCACCCAAGCAGTCACCGCTCTAGGACTCTCCCTTCTCAGGTGCCACAGATTTCCCTTTATAGTCTATTTTTATTTTTAATATTTCATAGGATTTTGTTTTCTTTTTGTAGCTCTAGCTCCTACTAAGCTGCAGTTAGGCAGGTTCTGGGCTAGCTCACCAGGTAACCAGTCACTTCTCTCCTTCCACAGGGAGTCCCCTCTAGGCCAGAGTCCCCTCTCAGCCACACTCACTCAAGAGGCAGCTCAATCTAGGGCAAGTCCCTACCCCAAGGCCCATACGCAGTGAGGGAGGAGAGAAAAATCAGAATTTCAGAACCTTACTGTCAACAGGCACACACGCCCAGGGAACCATCACCTCAGCAGTGGTGAAACAGATGTAAACATGAGCTAAGACTGGGCCAAGGTCACACATCAAGCACATGGGGCAAATGAGCGGCTAGAACCCAGTTGCTCTCTCAATTCCCAAGGTTGGTCCCCAGAGATGTTCAGGGAGCCTAAGGCCGCCCCCATCTCTTGCCTCAGTGGCTGCCCTAGGCCCCAAGCACCACGGAGCAAGGGGGCGGTGTTTTCAGGCCTCTCGCCAAGGCCAGCTGCAAACCGCATCCAGGGTCCCCAGGCGCCGCAGACCCGCCCCGCCCCTCCCTCTGCTCCCCGCAGCCCTGAGCCTTTGTCAACCACGCGCTCACACACACATCCGCGCTGCCACGCGCGCACACACTCGGGCTCCCCGGCGCACACCCGCAAGGGGCGCGCGCACTCGCGGCCCGCAGGCAGGGGATGGAGGTGGCGGAGGAAGGAAGGAACTGACCCGCTACCGACGGACAGACTGCCTGAGCTGGGGGAGGGGAGAGAGGCCTGGGAACCAGAGACTGAGGAAGGAGAAGGCGCAGAGGCTGGAACACAGAGACGCAAAGGAGCCTCTCCGAGAGAGGACAACGGCTGGGACATCAAGGGTTAGGGAGGACGCTTGGGTTGATCCAGGGGTGGGGGACTTCCCCAAACCCTGGCCCTCAGCTGGGAGGAGGTCCCTGGATTGGACCCCCAGTGGATCACAATTATGTCTTAGTGGAAGATCCCATAGAGCCCCCATATAGGGCTTGATATTGGGGCCCTGGGACCGAAGCCTCCCTCGGGTACGTCAATGCAGGGGTCCTAGTTCTCCAGCTGGGTGGGGCGCCTGCTCACCTGCCACGGTGTACCTGTCCAGGTAATTGAGCACGTTGCCCAAGCTGAGGATGGCAGCTGCTGCCCCCCGCCCGCGGCCCAAGCTGGCCGGTTTGGGCGGCTGCGCGCCGGGGCCCTTGGCAGCAGCTGCGCAGCCCGGGGTGCCCGGGGTTCCAGGGGGCCCGGGCGGGGCCCGCCTCACGCTGCCCGACAGTGTCTGCACCTCATCGTCTGCAGTCGCAACTCCAGTGCCGCCTGCGCTCCGCGCTCCGCAGCAGCCACCACTGCCA